TTGGATCGAGACTAGGGCTTGTTGAAAGCTTCAGTGTTGGCTAGGCCCAAAGCCCCGAAACCCTACACCCTGAAACCTCAACCTCAAATGCTAAACCTTGAGCCCTAAACCCTAAACCCTGCAATTCACCCTCACAATTAAAGCCTTTTGCTATCGGCAGAGTCGTGTGAGCCCCAGAAAGAGGCCGCTAGGCCCGCTGCAGTTGACTTGTTTACTAGACCCTATTTACGCAGCAGCAGCATCAGCACCAGGAGTTGCTGCTGCTGCTGCTGCGTCTGAGGCTCAGCATGCCTGGGCAGAATGCTTGCAGGGCTTGGGCCGGGGCCCCTCTTCGTGTGTATCTGCGAAGAGCATAGACGCGGCTACCAGACTATCCCCCGAGAGCCTAAACCCTAAACCCTAAACCCTAGACCCCAAGCGAGAAGTGCTGCTTTCTCTATGCTGCGTCCAGGCAGCCTGACGCGTGCTGCTGCTCCGGCAGCTCCCAAAACTCTGCGGGGGCCTCCAGGGGGCCCCCCGGGGGGACCCCCAGGGGGCCCCCCAGACCTCTTTATTCAGTCCCTCAAAACAACCAGTTTTCACCTCAGGCTTGCTCAACTCAAACTCACTGATCCCCTGCGCCGCTATGCAGGAGGCGAACTACTAAGGGGGCCCCCTGGGGGGCCCCCTTGGGGGCCTACAAGGGGGCCCCCAGGGGCTGCAGCATGTAAAGAGGTTGGCACCTGGGGGCCCCACATCTTCACTTTGTCTCACCAGAAGCAAAGAGAGGCCCTGGCTTACCCGGGAGCTGTTGCGACAATTTGGCAAGACGCAGCGATTGCAGCAGCAGCAGCAGCAGCAGCACGCAGTCGCCAGGCGCAGCAGCAGCAGCAGCAGCAGCGGCAGCGCCAGCAGCATGGAGAGGAAACATCGTTAATGGAGAAGATCCCTCTCTCGTCCGCAGGCCCAGCAGCAGCAGCAGCAGCAAAGACTTTGTCTCACCGTCGAGCTTTGGATGGCGTTTATTGCTCATCTTTTTACCTAGCGTTTCTTGCTGCTGCCCACGCAGCTTCTCCTGCAGCAGCAGCAGCAACAGACGCAGCAGCAACAGCAGCAGCAGACGCAGCAGCAAGGAACCGCGGCTCACCAAGACCCCGAGGGGCCCTGCAGAAACGGCAGGCAGCAATTGACAGATTGCTGCGGCTGCGCCCTAGCGGCCTTCCTGCTGTGGCTCGTATTGCTGCTGCTGCTGCTCGCATGCAGCAGCTGCTGCGGGGCCCCAAAGGGCCCCCCAGTGGGGCCCCACACAAGACGCTGTGGCAGCAGGAGCTTGCTGCTGTCCTTTGTTCCACTTCTGCTGCTGCTGCTGCTGTTGCTGATCGGGCGTTTTGGTGGGCCTTTTGTACCGCAGCTGCAACTGCTGCTGCAGCGTTTTCACCCCAAGAGGCCAGCAGCACAGCAGCAGCAGCAGCAGCAGCAGCAGCAGCCGGGGCCCCAGGGTGGAAGAGGCTCCAGGAGCCCCACCAGCGAATGCTCTTGGGGCTACAGGAAAATATTAGACAGGTAGGGTTGGGGTTTAGGGTTTAGGGTTTAGGGTTTGGGGCCCCTGGCCAATGTTACGTCGACTGCCCACTGTGTGGCGTCTAGGGTTTACAATAGAGGAATTAGGGTTTAGGGTTTAGGGTCTAGGGTTTGCGCTGCAGCATGGCCAGAGTTATCCTCTTCCTCAGCTGCTGTCAGCCCTAGAGGCGCTGCAGCGGCTGCAGCAGGTGCCTTCTGCTGCTCGGCCTGCTGCCACAGCAGCAATATCTGCAGCAGCAGCAGCAGCAACTGCAGAAGCAGGGGCATTCGCTGCTGCTTGTGGAGAGCTAGAGGTCAAAAGGAAAGCAGCAGCAGCTGCTGCTGCTGCTGCAGATTTGCCGCTGCTGCTGCCGGGAGTCGAGGAGGCTCTTCGGGCGAAGCTGACACAGGCAGCTGAAGCAGCGCAGCATGCTGCTGCTGGTGCTCCTGCTGCAGCAGCAGCAGCAGCTGCTGCTGTCGCGAATGCAGGGCCAGCCACAAGACAAAAAGCATCCACAGCAGCAGCACAGGCAGCAGCAGCAGCAGAGGGGAAGAAGACTATGTTCTGCCGCTTTTTGCTGCGGGCGCTGCGTCTGTTTGCTGCTGCTGCCACTCCCTGTCCTGCTCTGCTTCAATTCACAAGCTGCACACTAATATCCAAGTCAGCTGCCGTTGCTTCTGCTGCTGCTGCTGCTGCCGCTGCACTTGCCGCTGGTGCTGCTGCTGCTGGCGTTGCTGCTGATGCTGGTGCAGCTGTAGGTTCAGCTGCAGAGTGCAGCATGCGTTTCTCTCTTGACTTGAATCTGTTGCGCTGCGTTTGCTGGTGCTACTGCTGCTGCGCTTGCTGCTGCACTTAATGTGTGGTTTGCTGCTGCTGCTGCTACAGATGCGCCTGGTTTTCTACTGGGCAGCTAGTGGAGCTGTCAGAGCTGCTGCTGGAGCTGCAGCCCGAAGGCCAGACGAACTTAGAGGCCCTGCACGCTCTCAACGCCCGTACGTCAATGTCTAGCAGCAGCAGCAGCAGCAGCAGCAGCAGCAGCAGTAGTAGTAGTAGTAACAGCAGTAACAGCAGTAGCAGCAGCTGCACGGCTTCTTTCGCATCTTAGTAAGAGCCTGCGACAGCATGTAGAGGCGCATGGAACAAAGAGACCGTTTGGTGACTAGTGCTGCTACTGCTTTTGCTGCTGCGGCGTCTGCTGCTGCTGCTGCCCTTGCTTCCACTGCAGCACAGAGCGTCTGCCGTTTGCCCAGCTGCGTTTTGTGCTGCAGGCTTTACTGCAGCTGCTGAAGCGTCTGAGGTATCTCTGGAGCAGCTGCTGGTGAGTTGTCTTGCTGCTTAGGCTTAGTTGCTGCTGCTGCATGCGACCAAGTCGGTCTTTCCTTTGATGAATCCACCCATGCTGCTGCAACTGCTGCTGCTGCACTTTGTGCTGCAGCGCCTCATCCGGGCCTATGGGGGGATGGGCCTCACAAGCCCCTCTCTTCTAGCAGCAGCCCTTAGCAACTTTCCTGCCCCTGGGGCCTCGGGGGGGCCCCTTCTGGGGGCCCCTGTACCCTGTGGAGTGCCAGCAGAAGCAGCAAAGACGGCAGCAATGCGAGCGATCATCTCTGCTGCAGCCGAGGCGCTTCCAGAGCAGCAGCAGCACGAGCTGTTGCTGCGGTGCAGCACGGCCTATGCGCAGTGTCAGGCTGACTATGAGGCAGCAGCAGCAGTCGCAGCAGCGGCAGCAGCAGCAGCGGACCCTAAGGGCGTCACTGCCGAATTTCAGTAGGGCTATGTTGTCGCAGATGCTTCTGCTGCTACAGCAACACCTTTTGCTGCTGCTGTTGCTGCTTCTGGGTGGACATAGGCAACTTCCAAGAAGGAGCAACGGGGAGCTGCAATGATACAGCTATGTTGCTGGCTTTCTGTGCTGCTGCTTGTGCAGGCCTGCCTTGGTGTTGCTGCAGTGCTTGCTGGAGCAGCAGGCTCTTTCCCGACCGAAGCTGCTGCAGCTGCTCCCTACCTTGCTGCGGGAGCTGCAGCGAGGTAGGCAGCAGCAGCAGCAGCAGCAGCTGCAGTTCTGCGGCCTCGTACTTTCCGCATGTGCCAGCTGCGAATTGCACCTGGTGGAGCTCTGGGAGGAACTGCTGGGCCCGTTGCTGCAGTTGCCTGCTGCAGAAGATCCTGCTCCAGCAGCAACAGCAGCGGCAGCAGCAGCAGCGCCGTGGGGAGGCTGGCTGTTGTCTCGCCCTCTGCTGCAGCATGTGGAAGCAGCAGTTGCTGCTGGATGCTTCTGTGCAGTTGCTGCGTCTGGCAGTGAAACTAAAGAGAACAGAGAGGAACTGTTGCGTGCTGCAGCGTCAGCAGCAGCGCACGCAGCAGCATTGGCAGAAGGATTTCTGGCGTTGCTGCGGCGCAGCAGCAGCAGTAGTTTTAGTCAGCTCACGGAGGAGGCATTGCAGGACCTAACAGCGGATATATGTGGTGAGACTGCTGCCGTTACTGTGTCGGTTGTGGTGCTGCTGCTGCTGTGGTTGTGGTGCTGCTGCTGTTGCAGTTCTGATGCTCTTGCAGCTGCAGCAGCGCGGGTGGTAGCCAAAGCTGCGCATTTTTTGCTGCGGGCATGGTGGCACTAATGCAGGCCTCTATCGAGCACAGGCTGCTGCTGCAGCGCTGCTTGAGCTACAGCAGCAGCAGCAGCAGCAGCAGCAGCAGGAAGCGTGCTTCCAGCTGCAAAAGGAAGACGTACTAGGGGCAGCACCTCCAGCAGCAGCAGCAACACAGCCTTTTCGTGAACTTCTTACTGCGGAGTTCCCCGAGCTGCAGTTGTCGCAGCAGCAAAGGCAGAGGGAGAACAAGCACGCGCAGCAGCTGCTGCAGCGACGGCACTTGCTGCTGCAGCAACAGCACTTGCTGCTGCAGCAGCAGCTGGCGCAGCAGAAAAGCAATTTGCTGCTCTTGCTGCTCGCCGAATATGCGTGGCGAGGCACCCCAAAGTGACCTTCAGATCCTGACACGAATATACATATTAAATATATTGTTTTTAAATAGTTACTTCTATCAGATTAAACGGCAAATGCAAAAATGCAAAGTGTTCTTGAGACAACATTCAGCACGAGGTCGTTGCACTGTGCACATACACATTATATATATATATGTATAGAAATATACATATGCCTATGCATATATATATGTATATATATACATAGATATTTATTTGTATACTTATGTAATTACGTAATAATATATACAAATATATTCGTGCACTCATGCATATAAACATATATGTATATGTTTATTTGCATGAGTACACGAATACATTTGTATATATATATGTATATATTGAGTGCATGAATATACTCATTATATGTACTTACGTAAGTAAAGTATAAGTACATACATGTGTACCTATATATACTAATATATATATTGCATATATATATGTAAAGGATAGACATATATGTGTGCACATACGTATTCAATAGCAGTGTGTGCATATTTGTGCTGTA